GCAGGGGCACCCCCCACACCCACCCTGCTGGCAGGGACCAGGGCAGGGCAGCAAAGAAGCAAGATCCTTCCTGTGTGTGACCTTATCTGCCTGGCCTTGTCACAGGGAAGGGGCTGGAGAATCGCATCCACCATCATACAAAAACAGCCGGTCTCGGAGCAGGGCTGGTTTTGAAGTCAAGCAGCCAGGGTCACTGCCTGGGTCCCTCAATTTTAAGTCAGTGCCTCTCACCCAGGCTGTGGGTAGGAGGGAGCATGGCATGAGGCTCGGTCTTGGGCAAGTTTCAAAAAGGTAATAAAAATGGGGCTGGCAAGAGGGACACTGTAAGCCGGGTTTGGGGAGGGAAGGAGAGCCGGGGAGGACGCAGAGAGTGCCCCTGCCCATCTCAACCCACCCAGTGCACCCAGGTGCTGCGGCCTCTCACCCAGGCTGTGGGTAGGGGCGGGAGCATGGCACAAGGCCCAGTCTTGGGCAAGTTTCAAAAAGGTAATAAAAATGGGGCTGGCAAGAGGGATGTCATGAGGAGGGGTTTGGGGAGGGAAGGAAAGCTGGGGAGGAAGCAGAGAGCATCCTTGCCCATCTCATCTCACCCAGCATACCCAGGTGCTGAGGCATCATGGCCGCACTCTGCCCCCGTCGGTACCATATTGTCACAGCCCCCCATGCAGTGCGGGGAGACACTGTCCAGCCCCTGTCTCAGCCTGAGCACGGTTGCTGCGGCTCCAGCCCTGTCTTTTGGCAGGTTTCCTACATGCAGGCCCAAGCACGAAGGCTTGGGCTTCAGATGCCCCAAAGTTTTGCCTGCCCTTGGCCATGTGGCTACAGGAGCAAGCTGGGAAGGAGCCTCCCATTTCCATAAAATGGACATTAAGCCCCAACACCTCTGCGGGTACTAAACCAGACCAGAAGAACAGTTATCCCCGGGAACGCTTAAGGAAAACTGCCTTCTTGGACCCAGATACATGGTGTTTCCCTCCCCCATGGTCTCAGTAGTGATCCCAAGCAGAGGAGGAGGAGGAAGAGCCCCACTCCTTGTAGCTGGGAAGGAGGGGAAGGGGCTGGGGGCAGGCTGGGCGAGCAGCTGCCCACCCAGCCAGGTAGGAAAACCAAGTGTCTTGCCTGAAGCTGGCACGCATGAGGAGGGCAGGAAAGCAGAAGCAGGGCAATATCTGGGACATTTGCTGATATTTTACAAATCCTCCTCAATGGAGATTGGAGAATCCAAAAAGAGGACGTGTCTGGGAAAACCCGGACGTATGGTAACCCTAGCTCACTCCTACTTCATTGAATTCCTGTTCGAGTTTCTGTCACTTTTACTGCTCATTTACAATAAAGTTGACCTTTGCATTGATCACAATCGTGGCTGTGCAGTAATTTCTTATAAAAGCAGCAAATAAACATCTTGGCATTCATGGGGTGAGAGGACTGTTGTGTACTATGATTGCATGGACATAACATTTGACTTCTTTTAATTGAGCCAAAAAGACGAACATTTTCCATTGCCCTTCAGCTCTTCCCAGGCCCCACTCTTGCATTTCAGTTGTGGCTGGTCAGCACGAACCTCTCCCACCGCTGTCTGTCACTACTTTGCACAGATAAGAAGGTGCATAAGGGGCACCGCAGCTGTCCTGAGCCTCAGACCACCCGAACGTCGCAAAGCAGTATAGGAAAGGTGGTCATTTTGTGATTTGTGGGGACAATCATCCATCCGTATCAGAACCTGGCCAGGAAAATGCCGGCCTCTTGCCTTGCATAAAAGCAGATGAGGCGTGCATGGCACACAACAATCCCCTCTCCCCTGCCATACACATGACCCCTCTCTCTCTTTGCAGGGTTTGGGATGACTTGTTTCAACAGTCAGAGGGCAGCCCGAGTGCGTATGCCCTCCTCCTGCTGATCATGATGGTGCCCGAGGCACACCTGCAATCCTGGCTGGGGACCCTGAGCTATGACGGTGCAGGTGGCAAGTTGGAGCTTCCCCAAAATACCTGTAGATGCCTGGATTCATATTTGGGTCACAGATACATGTACTCCCTCTCCTCGACAGAGGACGAGATAGCTTCAGGCATTGACGCTGTCCAGGGTGTTTGATGGGGACCCCCAGGACCAAGCCATTTACCTAGGCTGTGCTCAAGAAACAAATGCTTTAACTGTTTCCCTGCCGCCTGCCTCTGCCCGTTGTGTGTGGAAATAGGGGCCATGGCGCTGCAGGGAAGAGTGGGGCAGTGTACACTTTGGCTTCTTTCAAAGTAACCAGTGCAGCACACGTTGTGAAATTCTTTCTTCAACTTTATTTCAGTGACAGTTAAATGAGCAATAGTAAAAGTTACAAAGAGAGAGAAAAGAATTACCCTTGTATTGCCTGTTCCCATTCCCCACCCCACGCACCCTGTCCCATGTCTAGTGTGTAACAGAGACATGAGAGATAGAAAGGCACCCTGAGCTTGCACCTGAAGGTCAGAGCACATGAGGCAGCATTGCCTCCCACCCACCACTACTTTTAAGAACAAAATTCAATATGTAGTTACATGAAATGCTGAAGACCCCTCACCCCTCATTTCCCATGTATGCATAGGTAATAAACCTCAAGAAAGGTACATGCATACAATACAAACTGAGAAGGACTCCGACACCCTTCATGCATCAGTACTTCTGACTGCCTGTCGACCCGCAATTTTATTTGCACCCCAGGGTTGGGTCAACTCATACTTTTGGCACAGGAACCTGAAACCTTGCACTATGCTCCCCTGTACCCCACTTATGTCTGCTCTGTATCCTCCTCCCCTTCATCCCTAAACCACAGTGGGGTTCTCCTCTTGTGGTTAGAAGAGGCTTGGCCATCATTTGGACCTGACAGCACAGTCCCTCCAGATGCACTATTCTCAGTGCTACCAATGTAAAGGTGCCCAATAAGCTATGGTGTAAACCTTCCCCCTAGATGCCCTCTACAGTCAGCATCAACATGGAAATCCTTAGCAATGTCTACAGATTCCCTGCTATAACTCTAATATAATAAAGGGCTGAGCCTGGTGGTGTCTGTCTGGATGTCTGTCTGTCCATAACCGTTTCAAGTAACTAAGCATGCATGGCCCAGAGGGCAGCTGATGATTGGCTACCCAGGCCCGAGTGTGCAACATCGGGATCATCATCAGCAGGGAAGAGAAAGCCGCAGTTCGAAGGTCCGCACCGGTTTTTGGTGTCAGGTTTAAAACTGTGGCTTTCGCATCCCCTCCCTTGGGAGCTGGAAGTGTGTGTGGGGCCCTGCTCCTGCAATGGGGCTACGGGAGGGGCCTGCAAGGCAAGGGTCGGGTCCAGAGAGCTGCACTGTGCCTGGGGAAGCAGGGAGCGAGGGGGGGGACGGGGCAGGTGGCACTGCACCTGGGAGGGAGGGGACCGAGCCAGGCAGGGAGCCGTGCCCCACCTGTGGGGTGGGGATACATGGGGATGGGCTGGGATGGCCTGGGTGGTGTGGGTGGTGGCGTGGGAAGGGCCTTGGGGGCTGTAGCCCCCTTAAATTCATCTTAGCCTCCACCCCTCAGAGCTGCCTCCCGCCTGCCCACAGAGACACGGCACAGTGCTGCCAGCCCGGCTGTCAGCCCAGCCCAGCCCAGCCCAGCCCAGCCCAGCAGGCCCTTGACATCTGCCCAGCTCTACGGGACAGGCAGGAGCAGCGCCTTCAGGGCAGTGGGATGGGGCCGGGTGGGACAGAGACAGGGGGCTGCCTCCATGTGACTGAGACTGGGGGAGTGGGGAGGTCCTGAGAGGGGAAACTGTGTGTGTATGTGCCTGTGGGTCTGTGTGTGTGTCCATGTGCAGACAGTGAGAGTAGACTGTACGTGCCTGTGTGTGTGCACATTGGGCTGAAGCTGGTGCAGGGAGCAGGGAGAAGAGGGTTGGGTGTGGGGGCTTATGCTGGCCTCTGTGCAGGGGGTGGGATTTTTGGTACTGCAACCAAAAGCTAAATCAGTCTCACACCAAGCCCCCATGTCCCCAGAATTGACCAAGCTAGTACACTTCTCGGGG